AAAAAAAAAAAAAAAAAAAAGAAAAAGGAAGTAAAAATCTTCAAAGAAGCAGGCTGCTTGCATTTTCCAACACTAGAAACAATAAAAATAAGCAATCTTCTTCCAGAGTGACCCGCATAAAATTCACAAACAAGACATTACAAAGGTTTTGTTAAATGAAGATCTACTTATTAATCAAAACAATGAAAATTAGTAAGAAAATTATTTTCACCAAATCCACAGTTTGAACAAGTCAGATGAAATCCTTGCAACTTCTTATTCTTTACGAAAGGAAGATTTAATTGTTAATCACAAGGAATCACACACAAAAACGCATACAGGCAGTTACAGGAATCGAGGGAAAGAGGCCAAATAAACAGACAATTGATTTTACCGGAAACAGAAAACAATATAAAGCACTGATGTGATTGATGTTCTTGAAAGAATAATACAATGTGTCCAATACTTAGCCACGCCTAATCTTTTCCTGACACTATCAGTACAGTGAGTGCAAAATCAATGGAAATATTCTAGGTTTAGCAAAAGAAATTTCAAAATTTGGTAAAAAGCTAAACATGTAATGAAAACAACCATACTCTTTTTCTTTTCTATGAATTTGCCTATTTTTGTCCTATGCTCGTTTTTTCCTTTGAATTCTTTTTTCTCTTATCAGTCTTTATTTATTTATTTATTTATTTTACTTTTTTTTTAACATTCTTTATAGGTAGATGGGATTTCTCTATGTTGCTCAGGCTGGCCTTGAATTCCTGGGTTCAAGTGGTCCTGCTTCAGCCTCTTGAGTAGCAGGAATTATAGGCACAAGCCACTGTGCCTGGCTCTTTCTTATCAGCCTTAAGGTTATACTCTACTGTAAATTTTAAAAAAAAATTAAAAATACCAAATCTGTTGTTTTTATTTTGCTTTTGCTATGGTATTTTTGCCATATATAAGATTTTAGTGCCAGGGACGGAGGCTCACTCCTATAATCCCAGCATTTTGGGAGGCCAAGGTGGGTGGATCACCTGAAATCAGGAGTTTGAGACCAGCCTGGCCAACATGGTGAAACATCGTCTCTGCTAACAATGCAATAATTAGCTGGGCATGGTGTCGTGTGCCTGTTGTCCCAGCTACTCGGGAAGCTGAGGCAGGAGAATCACTTGAACCTGAGAGGCGGAGGTTGCAGTGAGCCGAGATGGCGCCATTGCACTCCAGCCTGGGCAACAGGAGCAAGACTCCATCTCAAAAAAACAAAATAAAATAACTGGTCTCAAACTCCTGACCTCAGGTGACCCACTGGCCTCGGCTTCCCAAAGTGCTGGGATAGATTTTGATGTTTGGTAATTAAATATGCCTTCCTCTTCTTTTATAGTCGTAAGACTCGAAACTCCTAAGGTAGTCCCCTAGCCTGACACATAAAGTCACCTAGATTTTCTTGAAAAAATTCATTTTGTGTTTTATATTTAGATGTTTAGCCATCTGGAGTTAGTTTTTATGATGATGGAAAGTGGGATTCCTATTTGCTTTTCTTCTAGCTAGGATGCCAAATTTCTCTCTCAAGCCCCTCGAATACCAGACTCTATCCGGCTACTTTTCAGTCTCCACGTTACTGCCTAACCTCAAGGTTAAATCCAAAACTGAATTTATTTCTCCACCCTGCTCTACACACACACACACACACACACACACACACACACACACACACACACACACACACACACACACACACACACCAGCAAGAAAACAAAAAACCTATTCCTAATAGTCTTCTACATTTCAATAAATGTTCTTATGTCCTTTCAGCTGCTAAAGCCAAAAGCCTTAATGTCTATCATGATTTCCAGTCCTCCTGGAAATTCTATCAGCTCTACCTTCAAAATTCCCCAACTCCAGCCTACATCTTACCTCTCTGCTGAAACCATCCTGACCCGAATGACTGCCTCCTCAAGCCTCCTTAGCGGTCTCTGTTTCTACTCTGGTCCTCAGTGAATACCACATTTCAGCCAGAATAATTATTTTAAGGTAGGCTGGGCACAGTGTCAGCCAGAATAATTATTTTAAGATAGGCTGGGTGCGGTGACTCACGCCTATAATCCCAACACTTTGGGAGGCCGAGAAGGATGGATCACTTGAGGCCAGGAGTTCAAGACCAGCCTGGCCAACATGGCAAAACCCCTATCTCTACTAAAAATACAAAAAAAATTAGCCAAGCATGGTGGCACACGCCTGTAATCCCAACTACTCGGGAGGCTGAGGCTGGAGAATCGCTTGAACCTGAGAAGCCGAGATTGCAGTGAGCCGAGATCACACCACTGCACTCCAGCCTGGGCAACAGAGCCAGACTCCATCTCAAAAAATATATATTTTAAGATAAAAATATTATAGATGCATAGCATACATACAGAAGTACACAAATCCCGCATATGCACATTGATGAATGTTCGGAGGGAAACACCCATGTGATCAGCACCTGGTTGAAGAAGGATGTTGCCAGAAGCTCCCTCACTCCCCTTTCCACTCACTACCCTGCCCCCAAGGTGACCGCTTTCCTAACTTCTACATAGATGACTGTTGCCTGTCTTTTACCTTTATTTCAGTGAAATCATATAGTATATACTTTTTTGGCCTGCCTTCTTTCAAGATGATACTTCTGAGATTCATCTGTTTGTTGCAATAGCTCATTCTCATCACAGTGTAGTATTCCAGTTCATTAACACCTCACAGCTTATGTACTCTACCTGTGGTGGACATTTGTGTTTTCAGTTTAGGGTGACAGTAGCTCCCCCTTATCTGCAGTTTCGCTTTCTGTGCTTTCAGTTACCCACACTCAACTGCGTTCTGATGTTTTGAGAGGCTACATTCACATAACTTTTAGTACAGTGTATTGTTATAATTATATTATTTTATTATTGTTAATCTCTTACTGTACCTAATTTATCAATTAAACTTTATCATAGGTATGTACATAGAGTATGTCAGAAAACATAGTATTTATAGAGGTCAGTCATAGCTGAGGTTTCAGGCATCCACTAAGGGTCTTGGAACGTATCCCCTGCAGATAAGCGGGGACTAGTGTATTATACCTACTGCTGCTGCGAACACTAGTATATGCTTTTTTGGTGAACACCTGCCACATTTCTGATGGACAGATACACAGGTGAATAATTGCTGAGTCATGGAATGTGCATATGATCAGTTTTAGTAGATACTGTGAAATGGTTTTCCAAAGATGTTGGTACAGTTGACACTAACAGCAGGATTGAATGAGCGTTCCAGTTCCTACACATCCTTGCCAGGTTTGATATGCCTCTTTCATTTTAGCCACTCTGCTGCAGGGCGGGTAGAGTGGAATGATTTTTGGTTTTTTTTCCCTGAGACAGAGTCTCGCTCTGTCGCCCAGGCTGGAGCGCAGTGGCGCTATCTCAGCTCACTGCAACCTCCGCCTCCTGGGTTCAAGCAGTTCTCCTGCCTCAGCTTCCTGAATACCTGGGATTACAGGAACCCACCACCACACTCAGCTAATTTTTTTGTATGTTTAGTAAAGAGGGGGTTTCACCATGTTGGCCAGGCTGGTCTCAAACTCCTGACCTCAGGTGATCCACCTGCCTCAGCCTCCCAAAGCGCTGGAATTACAGGCCTGAGCCACCACACCTGGCCCAGAGTGATCATTTTTAAGATTAAACTTAGATTGTGGCACTTCTTAACTCAGACTCCCCAGTGTCCTCTCATTTCACTCAGAATAAAAGCCTTTGCAATGGCCTAAAGGTAGGATGATTATATTATTTGGTGTTTAAACTGGAATTCTATCTTGAGAGTAAAAGTGCCACTATTAATAATTAAGCCATGATAGCAGGCATAAATTTAAACTGTCCTGGGTAACTAGTGCGTAGAGTCACCCCAGTTGTCAGAGACGTTGTGACCTGGCCTTGGCTGTCCCTGTGATCATTCACCTACCATGCTCTCCCTCATTTTATTCTCCCCAACCATGCTGGCCTCCTTCAAATTCCATGTACATGGCAGGCATGTTTGCGCATTAGAAACATTCCTCCCCAGCAGTTGACATGGTATGTTGCCCCTCTGTCCTGCAGAGACACCCTGTATCAAACAGCACCTCCCCACCATCACTCTTCCCTGATGCTGTGGTATTCTTCTTCTTTGTTTTTTGTTTGGGTTTTTTTTTGGGGGGGGGGTTGGTTGTCCTGACACACTATTGCCCTGTTACTACCACCCTCTACCCCAAATGCAAGCTCCATGGAAGAAGGGACTTTGTTTAGCTTACCACTGTGTCCCAACACTTAAAACAGTGCCTCAAGGCCGAGTGCAGTGGCTTACACCTATAATCCCAGCACTTTGGGAGGACAAGGCAGGTGAATCACCTGAGGTCAGGAATTCAAGACCAGTTTGACATAGAGAAACCCTGTCTCTACTAAAAATACAAAATTAGACAGGCATGGTGGCACATGCCTGTAATCCCAGCTACTCGGGAGAATCACTTGAACCCGGGAGGCGGAGGTTGCAGTGATCCAAGATTGCACCATTGCATTCCAGCCTGGGCAATAAGAGGAAACTCCATCTCAAAAAAAAAAAAAAAAAACAGTGCCTTATATACAATTTATTATAGAATTTTGCTGGTGAGTATTGGATGTTAGTGGACAATTTCTTCAACTTTGTTACAGTCACACATTGCATGATGGGATGAGAAATGCATTCTGAGAAATGCATAGTTGGGCAATTTCATGGCTGTGCAAACATCATAGGGTGCACTCACACAAACCCAGAGATGTACAGAGCCTACTGCACATCTAGGCTGCGTAGCTCAGCCTGTTGTTCCCAGGCTAAAAACCTGAGCAGCATGTGGCTGTGCTGAATGTAGGCAGTTGTTAACACAATGGTAAGTATTTGTGTATTGAAACATAGAAAAGGTACAGTAAAAATAGAGTCTTACAATCTCATGGGACCACCTTCATATATGCAGATGCAGTCTGTTGATCCAAACATCATACATGGCACATGACTGTATTCAAGAATTCATAATAAAATATTAGGGGAAATTAACTGATTTGATCTTTACGACAACCGCATGACACAGGGTCCATAGGCAGGCAGCATCAGCGACACCCGGGAGGTTGTCAGAAATGCAGGATCGGCCAGGCGCAATGACTCACACCTGTAATCCCAACATTTTGGGAAGCCAAGGCGGGCAGACCACCTGAGGTCAGAGATTTGAGACCAGCCTGGCCAACATGGTGAAACCCCATCTTTACTGAAAATATAAAAATTAGCCAGGTGTGGTAGCATGTCCCTGTAATCCCAGCTACTCAGGAGGCTAAGGCAGGAGAATCACTTGAACCTGGGAGGCGGAGGTGGCAGTGAGCCAAGATTGTGCCACTGCACTCCAGTCTGGGTGACAGAGTGAGACTCTGTCTTAAACACACACACACACACACACACACACACGATATTGGGTCCCACCTCATATCTACCAACTCACTTTTTCCTTTCCTTTCTCCTCTTGGTGGCAGCTTCAGAATCTCTGTGGGCTCAAGGATCCAAGGGATTCTTATATACACTAAAGCTTGAGATGCACCTTATTTTTTTCCCCATTTTATGATGGAGACAATGAGACAAAAGAAAACTTAAGGTCACAGCTAGCAAATGGTGATGTTCGGATTGAATGTGCTCTTAAAGCTGAGGTGTAGAGGGGTGTCCAGCAATCCACCTGTAACTTACATGTGGAATGAGAAGCAGGCAGGTTCTCTCTAGAATGTTGGAGTTAAAGGGTGAAGCTACATTGTTGGTTATGGGGTTCATTCTTATTTTCAGCCTGTCCCTTTTTTCTGTTTATTTCTGGCAGAAACTTGGGAACCGTGGGTGCTGTTGCCTTGGACTGCAAAGGGAATGTGGCCTACGCAACCTCTACAGGGGGTATCGTTAATAAAATGGTCGGCCGCGTTGGGGACTCACCATGTGTAGGTAGGACCAAGGGATGGCTCCTGCCCCTTCTCCTTTTCTCCATCCTCAGGCTCTCCTCATTCCCTATTCCTTGCCCCCCTCTCCCTTTCTTGCTGCGTTCCCTTTCTGCTCTTGGTGCAGCTCCAGCATGTCTGGGAGTGAAATGGGGTTGGAAGGGGCTGTTCGGGGCCCTGCTTTGAGAGGGTGTTTGTGTCGGCGGCACTGTTTTTCTAGAACGCGTGCCTTTTCGGAACAACTTAGGGAGAGAAGTGGAGACAGGGATGCTAAAGTTGCCCCCAGTCTACGTGATAGTGATTCTGCCTTCTCCTTAGCCGCAGTTTCAGGATCTGCAGACTTACTTGAGTGAGACTTACTCCCCAGACATGGGCTCCAATTAGCAATCTGAGAAATCTGCGAGTTTAAGACTGTGGTTATTAGATTTGACCAGCATGAAAGCGACAGACTTCTACAGTCATATTACAGATTGAGATGTTGTTGAGATGTTGTTTACAATAACGAGGAAGCACATCAGCTCATTCCCAGGAGTGGGTGAGAGGCACTTAATGCGTTCCTCCAGTCTTTAGTAATAATCTACACTCTTGACAATTCTTGATACCCTTTTTCTTTCATGAACCTCAGAGACACTGGAAGCTTCCTTAAAGAGTAGAGGCTTGGTAACTCCTCTCCTCCTTGATAAATCACCCAAGAGACAGGAAGTAGTCTACCTTTCTTTCTCCTTAGCAAAAATCCTACCAAACTATCCCTAGTCAGTAGTGCAGCTTGCTTCAGCTGGGTTCAGACCAGACCACAGGCTCACTCCAGGTTAGATCCTAGAAATTAATTTTTTTTTTCAAGACAGGGTCTCGCTCTGGAGGGCGGTGGAGCGATCTTGGCTCACTGCAACCTCCACCTCCCAGGTTCAAGTGATTCTCCTGCCTCAGCCTCCTGAGTAGCTGGGATTACAGGTGCACGCCACCACGCCCAGCTAATATTTTTTGTATTTTTAGTAGAGACGGGGTTTCACCATCTTGGCCAGGTTGGTCTCAATCTCTTGACCTCGTGATCTGCCTGCCTTGGCCTCCCAAACTGCTGGGATTACAGGCGTGCGCCACCATGCCCAGCTTAGAAATTAATTTTAAACTTCAGTTACAGTGGTAAACTAGACAAGAAAAGGCGTAAGCTAAATTCTCAGAAGTCCTTGTCCAGCTGTGAGCACCAGGTGTGCTTTGCCTGGCCTTCTGAGCAGCCTTAGGCCTCCGGCTGGACAGTCAAGAGGGACGGTGCTAGGCACAGCAGTGGTCACTCAGGCAATCCACTTGTCCTGAGAAGTGCATGTGGTGGGGAGGACAGCTTCACAGACCCGACGCCTGTGCCAGGACCACCCTTGGAGGCGCCTGGCCTTCTGTGGTCCTAGAGTAACTGAAAAGCAAGCAAAGACTTGGCTACTTCCAAATATTAGGGCACATGGGACCTGGCCAGTTTATTCCCCAGCAGAAGCTTACAAGAAAAAGGAAGGCCATGCGCAGTTGCTCGTGCCTATAATCCCAGCACTGTGGGTGGCCAAGGCAGGTGGATCACAAGGTCAGGAGTTCAAGACCAGCCTGGACATCATGGTCACACCCCGTCTCTTCTAAAAATACAAAAATTAGCTGGGTATGGTGGTGCGCACCTGTAGGCCCAGCTACTCGGGAGGCTGAGGCAGGAGAATTGCTTAAACCCAGGAGGCAGAAGTTGCAGTGAGCCGAGATTGCGCCACTGCACTCCAGCCAGGTGACAGATGGAGACTCCACCTCAAAAAAAAAAGAAAAAGGAAAGGCTCCTCCTCCCACTGCAGCAGTTCACTCACTGCCCAGTGTCATCTCCCTCCAGAACCAGAGCCAGGGATGAACCTCTGGGGCCTTGTGACAATTCAGTACAACATCCCAACTCCTAAGTCCTTGCCCCATGTCCAGCATCCATAAGTAAGGCAAATGTCAGTCATCTCTGCTTCTGTATCAACTGCAGGAGAGTAAAGGTGAATCCTTCCAAGGCTAAAGGACTCTCAGGCTGGTAGCTGTGTGTGAACAGTTAGAGGAATGACTTAGAGAAGGCTGTAAGGTTGCTTGATCCCAGAACAAAATAAGGAAGAATCTTATCAAAGTAGCTTTCGCTGCAGACCCCTGCTTAAGTGTATAGCTCAGAATAGTTCCCTCAGGTCCAGTCATGCCCACCTTCGACAGATAGAGCTGCCCTCCATTGGACAGTATGCACGGATGTTAGGTTGTGGGTATCCGTTTTCCCATAATCACTGGAACGTGATGGCTTTGCTAGAGATCCATGTAATGTAGTCATGCTGTTTCTTCTCCATAGTGTGTGGGGCATGAGGAGGAGGCAGGGAGGGGGAGCTTCATTGAGCAGAAAGGAATGGCTATGCTTCGGGGCCAAGGAGACGCTGTCCTGCTGTAGCTGCTGTGGGAAGGTCAGGCCTGCCCTCCTGAGGCTCCCTTTATCCTGCTCCATTCTGGGGCATCTACATGGCGCTTTCTAGCCCACCTTAGTGTCTACAGATCATGGCTGCTAACCTGACCTTTGTCTATACTTGAGCACGCTTCGTGATTTAACTTTCACATAGCGTCCGACTTCTAATGTGGATTTGAATTTCTCAACTGTGAATGCTCAGAACAATCACCCTTTTTGAGCAGGATCCGGAGGTTATGCTGACAGTAACATCGGAGCCATCTCAACCACAGGGCACGGGGAAAGCATTCTGAAGGTGAACCTGGCCAGACTCACTCTGTACCACATGGAACAAGGTACACAAGGACAAGTCAAATAATTTGTGAAGACAAATGCTTAGAAGGTATTTGATAAGTAAACACATGGAGACGTGTAGGAAACCCTCTCCTGTTGGCTACAGATGTTGCTTTCATGTTGTTAACACTGTGTTTTGACTCCACCTTCCCTTAGGTCTGGAGTGGGAGAGCATTGAGTACTGTTATCTTCCACATCTCAGGAGAAGGGGGCAGTGGAGAGACATTGCGCCTGAGTGAGGGAGGGAAGACGCCTCTGCTTGGGCTGATGCTAGGGTGCTGTCTCAGGGCAAGGAGGGGAGGACCCTCCTTTTAAGCATTCAGGTGTTCGTTTACCACAAATCCTTCCTAGTTCACTTTGGCATTTCTAACTGCAAGTGATTTTTCATGAGATTCTGTTCAGTAATGTGTATTCTTTCTCAACCCTTCCTTATTTTCAGGAAAGACACTAGAAGAGGCTGCAGATCTATCGTTGGGTTATATGAAGTCAAGGGTCAAAGGTTTAGGTGGCCTCATCTTGGTTAGCAAGACAGGAGACTGGGTGGCAAAGTGGACCTCTGCCTCCATGCCCTGGGCAGCCGCCAAGGACAGCAAGCTGCACTTTGGAATTGATCCTGACGATACTACTATCACAGACCTGGCCTAAGCCCCTGGAAGATTGTGTTCCAGATGCTAGCTTAGAGGAGGAGTACCATCTCCTCATGAGACACAGCCTAATCAATTAGATCCATAATTGGAAACAAATTGTGCAGTCTGTCACTTGTTTTGTTGCCTTAATAAACATCTGAATGTTTGGTTGAGGGGCAGGTTCTGAAGTCATGAGAGACATGCCCGTGAGCCATGATTACTCTACCACACTCCAGCCTGGGCAACAGAGCGAGGTATCAAAAAAAAAAAAGAAAAGAAAAGAAAGAAGAGAAGGAAAGCAGCAGCATGATCCTGACATGACAGATTTGGGAGACCCGCAGCATGCAGACACTGTGGGCTGAAAGGTGGGGAGGGAGGCTCCGGCAGAGTTGGAGGCGTCTGGAAGTGAGACAAGAGCCACAGACACACTGGTGGGCGAAGTCCAGGTGACCCTCAGAATGTTGCACAAGAACATCAGGGAAAAGAACCAAAATCCTTTAAGGGAAATGTTCTCCATGTATGAGAGACTAAACTGATTTTCCTAAGAAAGTTCAGATCTTCCCTGACTTATCTGGATGTGTCCAGATACTTCCAAAGGACCCAGATACTTCCAAATAAACCATAGCTCCCTAACCTGGAGATGGAAGGTCATAATGGAGATGCTGTGGGATTCCGTGAAGTTTCTTGGGTTCAGAGATGAGCCTCCCTCCATCAGTGTTCTCCCATGAGCCAGACTCCACCTGCCAAAGACCCTCTGGTCCTCATATAGTGAGTGACAGTGCTCACAGCCTCTCCAGCAACAGAGAGGAGCCGACTGCTGTAGGGCTGACCCCATGACTTCCTGCGTCCTCACCCTGTTTTGTGCTTTGAGATTCTTCCCACCTCCCCATCCCCACCAGCTGGATCGGGCACTGTGCAGCGTGGTCAGCATGGTGAAGAAAGTCATTTCCTTGGGGACAGTATTCCCCTTTATCTCTTGTTACACTGGAAACGCGATTCCGCTGTAAAATCCATGCCCAGTTTTTCAGTCTCTCAGAGCTCACCTTCTCTCTGGAAAGAAATTGCCTAACTTTACATTCCATGTGCTGCTAATAAAATGTATTTTGAAAGAGTAAGAGTGTGGTTGGGAGTCACTGTTGACAAAGACCAGAATGCACACGAGCTCTCCCCTTGGTCTCAATTCTGACGTACCAGAGAGACCTTGAGATGGGGGTGGTGTGGGGGGGTACCTGCCCCCTTGTGGAAGACGTGAGTTTTTCACAAGAACCGAACTGAGTGGGTTAAGGAAGAAGCCAAACCATGTTAGAGTTTGTGGCTCAGTCCTCCTGCAGTTTGCCAATATTCACCCCAGACAGAGGTGCACAGTTCTGGCTCCTGTCCCCAGACCCTCCTTGGGGCTGTGTCAGCTGCTCCAGACCAGAGAGAAAGAGAGGGCACTTAGAGGCAGAACTGAGTTTGAATCCTGTTTCTTACTACCTGGGTGACCCTGGGCAAATTAACTTTTAAGAATGTTTCATCTGTAAAGTAGATTACTATGATGATGAAAGAAAGGTAAAGAAAAACTGCAGTTCTCAGTGTTTTACTTTAAGGATCTTATGGACAAATATAGAAACTGTGGCTAGGCCCAGGATGGAGTTTCTGTCCTTAAAAACCTCGACATGCAACAACTGCCCCTTTAGGAACAAGGATTTTGTTAGCAGGTGTATTAGCTGAGGATTGCCACAACACGAGTCCACAGACGAAGTGGCTTAACCAACAGAAATGTATTAATATTTTCTCCGTTCTGGAGGCTGAAAGTCCGAGATCAAGGCGTGGCCGCGTTGGTTTCTCCTGAGGCCTCTCTCCGTGGCTTGTGTAATAGCTGGCCATCTTCCTGCTGGGTCCTCACGTGGTCTTTCCTCTGTACATGCACAGCCCTGCCATCTGTCTCTACACGTCCTAACCTCCGCTTCTTATGAGGACACCTGTCATATTGGACTAGAGTGGACCCCCATGACCTCATTTAACTTTCATCACCTCTTCTTTAAAGGCCCTGTCTCCAAATACACTCACATGCTGAGGTCCTGGGGGTTAGGGCTTCAGCTTGTGAATTTGGGAGGGGTCAGAATTCAGCCCATAACAGGAGGCAAAACAGAATCGTGTTGGGGTTTGGAAAAGGGAGGCCTTTTGGAAAAGACAACAATGGCTAAGTAGATAGAAAAAAGGAAGGAGGCCAGGCGTGGTGGCTCACACCTGTAATTCCAGCACCTTGGGAGGCTGAGGCAAGCAGATCAGGAGGTCAGGAGTTTGAGACCAGCCTGACCAACATGGTGAAACCCCATCTTTACTAAAAGATATAAAAATTAGCTGGGTGTGGTGGTACATGCTTTGTAATCCCAGCTACTCGGGAGACTGAGGCAGGAGAATTGCTTGAACCCGGGAGGTAGAGGTTGCAATGAGCCAAGATTACACCACTGCACTCCAGCCTGGGTGAGAGAACAAGACTCCCTCTCAAAAAAAAGAAAAAAAAAGAAGGAACTGGGGGATAGGGAGGCCGGTTGAAAATGATTTTGAGCTTGTCTTATCAGTTCTCCACGAGGAAATTGACTAGTTATTAAAGACTGCTGTAGGCTCAGCTGGTGGCCACTTGACCTCTTCAGCGGGGCAGCCCAGGTACTGGGATACGTACAGGGTCGTCACCCCTCTGTGCAAAGCCAAAGTGTGTATTTTTGCCCTCAGACGTGAGTTGTACGAAAAGCCACCTCCACCAGTCTGGGAATTCTGCCAGTGGAGACCACGTACAGTTCTCGCTTTTGCCCCACACCTTGTCCATGGGCTGCTCACTCACTGTCAGAGAAATGAGCCTGATCTCATCTGAAAGAGGAAGACAATCTTTTTATCACTTCTGTGCCACAAGAGGGCAGCAAACTACAAACTCTCCATGCCTTCAGCCGCCCAAAGGGAAGGTACTCTGGATCAGAGCAGCCTGCTTAGAAAATTTGGAACCAAAAGAACATTCCTCTTCCTGACCTTCATTTTCATCCAAATTCTACAATTTATTTTAGAGCAGGATCGTCCAAAGCACAAACACTGGCAAATGCCCCGAAGAACCCATCCAGATCAACAATGGAAGCTCCCTCTGCCCTGGGCTTTGCCAGAGGGCAGATGATGTGGGATCCCGCGGTGGGCCAGCTCTGGCAGCCTGGCCCTGCCCCCACTTGCTCCTTCGAGCTAGGAAGACAGATAAATCATCAGGTAGCTGCACCCATCAAAGTGATGGGATAATCAGGAGCACAAGATGGGCCCGGAGCCAAGGGCAAGTGTTCCCTGCTACAGTCAGGACTTGGCCCCATTGCTGGGCTACAGAGAAGAGGCCTGGGTAAGGAAGGGCCTTGACCTTGTAGCTGTTGCATAATACACATTCTTCTCAAATAATACGCATCCTAGACTTCTTCCTCTCTAGCTTGAAGAATTATAAACTCTGAGAGCAAAGGAAGGTGGAGTGGGGAGCACATTAGTCCTCTCCAATGTCCTGTTGTCAGAGGTGATGGTGTGTGAGGAAGGCTGGGAAGGGACACTCATTCTTCCAGCCCCCCACCTGCTCCTCTGCAGTCCTCCCATCAGCCGTCATCTTTGCACAAAACCATCACTGCATTTGGATTTTGTAGCTGTTTTTTTT